TCAGCTCATATGAGTGAGTAATCCTTTTTATTCATACAGAATATAGTAGAAATCTTTCATCAAGAAAAACTTCATCAAAATAGAGTATTACAAACATGCACCTCCTGGGTTTCTGCCCTTTTATTTACAGGAAACAGATGCCATAGGACTTCTTTTCAACAATTATTCAGAATAGAATAGATTCTTACCTTCACCAAAAGCTTACTGTTTTCTTTATGAAGAGCAATTCAATATTATGGTTAGACATGACTTGTCACAATAAAATGTATAATATGAGACTCTGAAGGACTCTGCTGAAGATCAACCCTGTCCCTTTGAGTTGGCATAATGTCTAGAACTAGGTGACAGAATAGGCTGCTGAAATAAGCCAAGCTGGAGACTTACATTTGCTAAAACCACTAAACCATTGGATTACTTTCAAATTCTTTTTTTTAGAAACTGTTAATTTTTAAAATTGATACATAATAGTTGTATATATTTATGGAGTACATAGCGATGTTTCCAGACATACACTGTAAGTGATAAGATCATGGTAATTAGCATATCCATCATCTCAAACATTTATCATTTCTTTGTGTTGGGAACATTCAATATCCTCCTTCCAGCTATTTGAAAATAGATAATACGTTGTTAACTATAGTGACTCGATAGTGCTATAGAACACTGAAACTTATTCCTCCTCTCTAGCTGTAATTTTGTATCCTTTAATAAAGCAGTCAGTCCCCAAACTTTCTGGTGCTAGGAACTAGTTTCATGGAAGACAATTTTTCTATGGACTATGAAGAGGATAGCTTCAGGATGATTAAAGCACATTACATTTATTGTGCACTTTATTTCAATTATTATTACACTGTGATACCTAATGAAATGATTACACAACGTACCATAATGTAGAATCAGTGGAAGCCCTGAGCTTGTTTTCCTAAAACTAGATGATCCCATCTGGGAGTGATGGGAGACAGTGACAGATCATCAGGCATTAGATTCTCTTAAGGAGCCTGCAACCCAGATCCCTCACATGCAGAGTTCACAATAGGGTTCATTCTCCTATAAGAATCTAGTGTTGCCACTAATCTGACAGGAAGAGGAGCTCAGGTGGTAATGGGAGTGATGGGGAGCAGCTGTAAATACAGATGAAGCTTCACTTGCTCACCTGCCCTTACATTCTGGTGTGCCTGGTTCCTAACAGGCCATGGACCAGTACAGGTTAATGGCCTACATCTTGGGGATGCTTACTTAGACAAATCTCTCCCTATTGTTCCCTTCCCCCTACCCTTCTCATCCTCTAGTAACCTCTGTTTTACTCTTTAGTTCTATTAGATCCACTTCTTTGGCTTCCATATATGTGTAATAATGTGGTGTTTAAATTTCTGATGATGGCTTATTTCACTTAACAAAATGTCCTCTATGCTCATCCATGTTGCAGAAAATGATAATATTTATTATTTTATAATATTTTATGCTTATTTTTATAAAAGGACATTATTATTTTTCATGGCTGAATAGTATTCTACTGTATATATATATATATATATATATATATACACATATATATATGTATATATATATATACCACATTTTCTTAATCCATTCATCTGTTGATGGACAATTAGGCTAATTCCATATCTTGACTATTGTGAATAGGTCTGCAATAAACAAATGGAATTCTATAAAAGTAACAAGCTTTTCCACAGCAAAGGAAACAATCAACAAAGGGAAAAGACAACTTACAGAATGGGAAAAAATATTTGCAAACTAATTCATCCAATAGGGGACTAATTACCAGAATGTATAAGGAACACAAACATCTCAACAAAAAGATAAACAATGTGATTTTAAAATGGGCAAATGATCTGAACAGTGATTTCTCAAAAGAAGATATAAAAATGACTATCAAATGTATTTTTTAAATGCTCAACATCACTAATCATCAGGAAAATGTAATCAAAGACACAATGAGATATTATCTCATCACACGTAGAATGGTTATTATCATAAAGACAAAAAAATAACAAATGCTGGTGAGGACGTGGGACATGGAGAAAAGGGAGTGTAGTGGCATGATCCACACTATAGCCTTAAGCTTCTGGGCTCAAGGGATCCTCCCACCTCAGACTTTGAAGAACCTAGGACTACAGGCATACATCTGGCTATTATTATTATTATTATTTTATAGAGACAGGGTCTTGCTATGCCTATTTGGCCCAGTCTGATATCAAACTTAAGTCCTCAAGTGATTCTTTTGCCTTGACCTCCCAAAGTGCTGGGATTACAGGCATGAACTATTGCGCCTTACTTAGAAAGGAAAACTCGACGCTATTGGTGTGAAAGTAAACTAGAACAGCCACTATGGAAAACAGTAAGACGGTTCCTTTAAAAAACACAAATAGAACTACCATATGATCCAGCAGTCCCACTAGCAGGTGTTTCTCCAAGGACAAGAAAATCAGTATGTCCAAGAGATAACTGCAAACCCATTTTTAAATAAGTTAACACTCCTTAGACAGTCTCCAAGAGGCAGCTGATACATAATAATAGTGCATCTAATTCCCTGTACTGAGCCAAATGAGCACCAGGTCAGAAGTGAGCACCAGGTCAGAGGTGAACCACACTTCTGGTGGGCATGGAATCCATCTGCAGAACATCAATGACCCAAAGTGTCAAGGAGCCAGCCCAGCGAGAAGAGAGAACCAGGTGAGTGGGCTGGGAGCAAGTGGGCAATGAGCAGGAGACTGATAATGAACAATGGATGTGTGAGGCTACACACTGCATGATTCCAAGTACATGACATTTTGCAAAAGGCAAACTGTGGTGACAATAATAGCAGAGTGGCTGCCAGGGGATGGGGGAAGAAAGGGATGAACAGGTGGAGCAAAGCATTTTTAGAGATGTGAAAACTATTCTGTATGATACCGCCATGGTGGATACTGTCATTGTGCATTTGCCAAAACCCACAGAATGCACAACACAGTCCTAAGCTATGGACTCTGGTTAATAATAATGTATCCATGTGGGTTCATTACTTGAAACAAATGGACCACATAATACAAGATGTTATTAACAGGGGAAATGGAGGGTGGGGGTGCTGAGGGAGTAGATGGGAACTCTGTACTTTCTCCTCAATTTTTCTGTAAACCTGAAATTGCTCTAAAAAACAAGTTAAAGCCTATTAATTTTTTCAAAATGGATGAGGACAAGGAGAATATCATAGAAATAGTGAGAATCTGAAGGAAGAGTCTAACAGTTTAGCTGGCTAAGCTGAGCCCAGACACAGGGGGCAGGTTTCAGGGACCACTGGTAAAGAGTAATAAAGACCCACTGACAAAGAGGGAAAAGGATGGGGATTGAAGATCCTGATATTCACAGCAAGGCAGAGGGGGCCTTTCCACTACACAAAAAAGATTTTCTCCAGAGTAGCTTCATTCTACTTTAATTTCTTTCTTACGCAGAAGCTACCAACCATAAAATCTGGTTAGACGCTTGTAGAGTTTGGCTAAATGTGTTTGAAAAGATAGCTTTACTTGCAGTGTTAAATTTTTGTAACCCTCGTTTTCTAAAAAGCAAGGATGATTCTTCTTCCTCTGCTAGAAGCTACAGGTGCTGACCAACTGAGTGGCAGTAAACCCAAGTTTTGACCTGACAGGTCAAGGACCTAAAAACAGAGATGCTGGTGAGATTTTAAAGTTGTGAACTCCTAACTTGTGATGAATTTGTGGGGTAGGGGGATGGAGGATTCTATTTAAACCTGGAAAAATGGAGAGTTCAATTAAAAACCTTACAGTAGTAAAGCATGCATTTTGCCTGTGTGCTTGTGTTATTTAACTCCCCCTGTTCTGTTTGGATTACATTTTAAAATAGTGCTTATTAGTTAGTCCATGGCTCCAGGCCGAGGACTTTTATTTTGTTCTAGAAAAAAATATGTGAAAAGCCATCTTTGAATTTATAATGAGCTCAGCGTCCTTAACAGCTTTCTACCCACCCATGGTGAAGCCATGAGCCATGATGGTTTGGAGTGGGCAAATTTTAGATTCCAATCCCAGGTTCTCTTATTTGTAATAAGACTTTTAAGAAACTTTCTCAACCTTTTTGAATCTTCATTTCTCATATCTAAAGCAGATGAGAACTGTGTAAGGATAAATGAGTAGTTTATGGCTGATTTCTTGCACAACATCTAATACACAGTGAAGACCAAATAAATACTGACAGCTACTCTTATGCAAATTTCCTGCCTCTGTACCCTGGCACCTCAGAGAAAGTCTTGGGGATCTGCCTATCACCCTCCCTCTTCCTGTAACTGCTTGGTTTGTCTTTCTCCATTTCCAGCTCCATAGCTCTGGCTTTGGTTTCTCCTCCGCTCAATCTATTTCAGACTGGTTCTTGACTGGGAAACCCATTTGGTTATTGACTCTCATTTGCCTCTCTGGAAGCAGTCTCTTGACTCCATGGCCAGTGGCTGCAGGCTCAGTCTATTCTGTTCCCACTTTGTCCTCTGGCCTTTAAAACCTAAGCCTTAGCCAGATCCTACCTGGTCCTAGAAGGGAGTTCAGACAAACTATTTTACACAAACTGTTACAATCTTCCTTTAATAGAAAGACATTTAAAATGCAAATGTTCAAAAATTAGTGAGTGCATAAATAGATGATGGGCTATATGGTAGGATCTTATACAGCCTATAAAAGAATGTTTACAGAATTTTGAACAAATAAAAAAAATGCTTTGGTACAGTCAGGGTACACTGGAAAGAAGAGGAGTGTCACAAAGACCTGGGTGTATTCTGGCCTCAACATTCATTTGCAGTGTTACATATCACAGGTTATTTAAGCTCTTTGAGCCTCAGCTTCCTCATCTATTCAAAGGGGATGGAAACATACACCTCTTAGGATCACTTTTGACAATTACATCAGATAATAAATGTAAAAACTTTAGCAGTCTGAATATTCCAATAAGAATCAACTCCAAATAGCCAGTATCAAAACAACAAAAACTGATTTTTTACTCACACTTCAAGTTCATCAAAGGTTGGCTGAGGGCTCTGTTCCAAATAATCTTCAATCAGGCACTCAGGCTGATAAAGTCCACGATCTGGAGCTTCACCTGCCACCAAGGCAAAGGGAAGGAATTTAGCAAGTCACGTGGCTGATCTCACAGTTTCTTTCTGCAGTGTGTCATGGCCATGCCTAACTTCAAAGAAGAGAGGGGAAGCCAGTGATGCCACATGCGGGAAAGAAGGGAACCAAAACATAAACAAAGAGCACCAGTGACTATCACAAATACCAATTATAGTGCTGGCCCCTAGAAGTTTTCCATAATAAATGTATGAACATATGATGCATAAAAATGAGAATATGTTACCATTTTAACAGCAATGACTTGACAATCAGATTATTGATCAGATAAACACTTTTTCTGCTTCTGGATTTGTTCTGTAATTATCAATTTTGCAGAATGAGACTATATTACTTTTAAATAAAGATAAATGAATAAAAATAATATTACTATTTATGCCTAGCTGTTTTCATCAAATGTTTAAAAGAATAATAGGATTTAAAAATCATTCTTGATCTGGCTCAGTGGCTCATGCCTGTAATCTCTGCACTTTGGGAGTCCAAGGCGGGTGGATCACCTGAGGCCAGGAGTTTGAGACCAGCCTGGCCAACATGGCGAAACCCCATCTCTGCTAAAAATACCAAAATTAGCCTGGTGTGGTCACATGCATCTGTAGTCCCAGCTAATCAGGAGGCTGAGGCAGGATAATCGCTTGAGCCCAGGAGGCGGAGGTTGCAGTGAGCCAAGATCATGCCACTGCACTCCAACCTGGGTGACAAAGCAAGACTCCATCTCAAGAAATAATAATAATAATAAAACAAAAAATAAAAATCATTCTTCCCTCTCTGTTAACTGCAACTTTAGCTGCTCAGTACTTAGTGAAACAAACAAAAAAGGATATACAAATTTCAGAAGAGCCAAGAAGAATGTTAGCAGCCTGTTGAGCAGCATTACAGATTCGAAAGCTCGATTGATAGCACATGCCGAAATATGGGAGTTTTAAAACTGTACTGTAAATAGCATTGGCATAAGATACATAAAGATGGCGACAATAAACACTGGGGACTACTAGCGTGGGGAGGGAAGGAAAGGGGAAAGAATTGAAAACTAACTTGAAAATAGTGGGTACTATTCTCACTACCTGGGTGGTGGGATCATTCATGTCCCAGACCTCAACATCACGTAATGTACCCATGTAACAAACCTGCAAATATACCCCTAAATCTAAAATAAAAGTTGAAATTATTTTTTAAAAATGATACCGCTAGTGAGGATCCTGCATAATAAGCAGTTTTATCCCAAATTGTTTGATCAAAGTTTAAAGTCCCCCTCAAACCTCATCTTACTTGCATTCAATAAAATTAAAAAATCATAATCTTTGGTTAAAATAGCCTCAAGAAGCCTATTAAAAATTATAACTTTTGTAATGGAAAAAGGTGGCTGGATGTTTTTAAAAATTCCCCTAGGACTGAAGAAACTCGAAGCATGTTTCTAATAAAATAGAAACTCCTTGTGAATGATATTGCAGATTTAACGTCCTCCATTAAATTTCTCCCCATTCAGCAAGGAAAGCATTTTCTTTCTGTCTCTGTGTGCAGTTACCAACCACTGACCCAGCACCCTGGCCTGACTCCCTGACAAACGGTGACCCCCGAGTCTGGGGATAGGAGCTGGCTGCTTTGAGTCACAGTTGTCTGAGCCAAAGATGTCAGTTTTGTTGTGTTTTGTTTCTTACTGAGGACAGGGTTATTGGAAAGGGGTTTTGAGTTAAATGGTGCTTATAAACCAAACCAATGCAGCATAATATTGTACTTCTGCTAAAGAAGATGCAGGCAAATCATTTATTTGGCATCAAAATTTTATTTTCTTCAATAAGTTAATGTCACATTTAAAAGGTGGAGGAGATTGATATATATTAAAAGAGAACTTTAATGCATAATGACCACATAAAATGTGTGGACCTTAATTAGTTCAAACAAACCAAAGGTAGAAAATATTTTGTATACAACTGGGGATATCTGACTACGGGCTGGGTATTAGAAATGTCAAATAATTATTATAATTTTTGTTAGATGTAATAATAATATTACAATGCAGGCAAATGTCCTTATTTTTATAGAGATATTCTGAAGTATTAGGCATGAAGAATGTCAACATATTCATAATTTTTAAAAATTAAGCAAAAAATAGATAAAGCAAATGTAGCAAAATGCTTATAGTTATTGAATATAGAAGATTATTCAGAGTATTATAATATTTTATCCACTTTAGCTGACAATTTTTCATTATAAAATTTCTTACTAAAATTAAATCTGAATGTTTTATTCAAAATTACGTATTTAAAATATTTCTTAAAATACATATCTAAAATATTTTAAAATACTTTTTAAATCTTAAATCTTTTCATTATAAAAATTTTTAATTTTCCAACAGTAGAAACAATATAAGATATGAGAATACAATGATAATACCAGAGTCTTATCAAGCTGGGAAGGAAATCGGAGAACATTTGTTTCAACACTCTCACTTTTAGAAATGTGGAAATTCCTGCCTCAAGTGACTGGAAAGTTACCTGAGGCTACATAACCGGTTGGTGACTGATATGATTTGGCTGTGTCCCCACCCAAATCTCAACTTGAATTGTAATTCCCATAATGCTCAAATGTCTTGATGGGAGATAATTGAGGCGTGGAGGCAGTTTCCCCCTTGCTGCTCTCCTGAGAGTGAGTTCTCACAAGATCTAATGGTTTTCAAAGCATCTGGCATTTCCCCTGCTGCACTCATTCCCTCTCCTGCCACCCTGTGAAGAGGTACCTTCTGCCATGATTCTAAGTTTCCTGAGGCCTCACCAGCCATGTGGAACTGTGAGTCAATTAAACCTTTCTTTATAAATTACCCAGTCTTAGGTATTTCTACATAGCAGTGTGAGAACAGACTAATACAGTGACAGAATTTAAAGGACAGGCAAGGTTTCCTGACTCCTGGGTACAACTCTACAACCACATTCTGATTCCTGGATTCTGTCCTGCCCACAGGTGGTCTGCAGCTAAGCCAACACAGCTGCTACTCCAGAGCCACCAACTCCACCTCCTCTGGGCCATCTGTTGCACCATGGACACCATCACCACAGTTGTCCCTGCCACCGCTATGGACTGACAGAAGCTTCAGTCACTCCACCCTTATGCCAATCCCTCCTCAGATGCTGTCCCCACTCTCAATTTGGCAATGAAAAAACTAGTACGGTGCCCACTTCCTTCCAACACTGGAACTACTTTCACCTCTGACCTCTTAGGTTCTACCAGAGTAAAGAGAAGGTTTACTGTCACTTTTAACAAAGCAAATACCTCCAAAAACGCTTTAGTCCTAGGAGATATATCAATTGAGCCATATTTGCATTTCTTTAATATAATCTTTTTTTAGGATGTGAATTTTTGAAGTGTGTTAGCAAGGAACAGGCAAAAGACATCACGTGGATTAAATGCCTGATGTTTTCTCAGCAGGAAGGCCCTGCAAACATTTAGGCAGGTTATAAAATTACAAAGTGCCTAAAATTGCAAAAACAAAATTACACAGTTCATATTGATAAAGAAAACTTAAAAGTTTTTAATTCAATTCTCATTTATCATTCTAGTTTTAAATATAATCTTCCTTCTTTCTTAAAATTTAATTTCAGGAAGATGCTTCTATTGTATTTTTAATTCATTTATTGTATATATTTATGGAACAACATGATGTTTTGATATATATATATATCTACATAGTGAAATGATGACTACAGTCAACTAGATTAACATAACTATCCTTTCACATGGTTGCCTTTTCTGTGTGTGGGAACCATGCACACTTCCAGTGTACAATAAAACATTATAAACTCAAGTCCTTGTGCTATACATGAGAGGGCTACGCTTGCACAGCCTTTAAAAATGAAACTTGGGAGTCTGACCTCTGTCTCCTCACTGTACTTCATGAGTTGCTGAAGGTAGAACAGTTGAAGGATTATACAAAATACTGAACACAGAGAAAGAGAGTAACAGTAAAATATTACTTTTATTTATTATGATTTTGCTTTACCACAAAACTTCTATTAGCCTATGTTGTCTTCTGGCAAAGAATCTTAGTTTTTTTGTCTTACTTAGGGATTAGGAATTAATTTCAGTTATGGGATTTTTGATACTCTTAGTTCTATTTAGTGCCTATCCCCAGACCTGTGAGGCCCAACTGGTAGCAGGGAATATAGGAAAGAATAGATCAGTCCACACTCGGAGTCCCTCCGCAGTGCCCCTGCATCCTGCTCTGCTCTCTGCAGCGGCGGATCTCAACCTCACCTTCCTGCTCTTTTCTGCTCTGGCTGCTTCCTGGAACTTCACTCCTCAGCTCTCAGAATTTACAACTGCTTCCAAACTCCTTCCCATCTCCCAGACTTTTCCTGGCCCTAAACCTTCCAAACGACACTTCCATTGCTTTTTGTATTCCAACATAAAATAACAGTTTATGGTTGAAAGTAACTGCCACCCCCTGACCCCCAAAATTCTAGAACTAAAAAAAAATAATCAAAATCAAAATTTAATTAGTTTAGAATGTGTACCCTGTTTTACTACGTGTTTTGTGGTTATCCTAGAAATTTACTCATTTATGTTAATTTATTTAATAGCAGAGTAAATTTAGTGAACTAGCACACAGGTCAGAAAATTTTATCAAGAACAAAAGCTTAGCATGACAAAAGAAAGAAGAGAGAAGAGATGTGGGAAATTCAGTGGCAAGATCTAACATGTAGTTGATTAAAATCCCAGAAATTAAAAGAGAAAATAATACAATAATTGAAGAGATAATGACTGAGAATTTTTCAAAACTAATAAAAGACATAAATCTGTAGATTTAAGAAGTCCAAGTAGGATAAATAAAAAGGAAATTCATACTTAGATATATCATGATACATAATGCATAATTGCAGAAAACTAAAGAGAAAAATCTTAAAAGCAGACACAGGTAAAAGAACAGATTATGTTCAAAGGAGTGACAGACTAAAGCCTACCTCTCAGCAGCAATAT